CGCCCCTGTGTGAAGCCACCGAGGCACAATAAAACCCACACGCAAACCTGTTGCCTCCATGGGGACTGGCATGGGGTCAGTGCAGGGCCAGGGGGACACAGGGATGGGGGGACAGAACGAGGTGTGGGGGAGGGACAACTCCACATGGAAATGGGACAGGACATGAGGCCACTACAACACACAGAAGGACAGTGGGACATTAAAGGGAACAGGGGCAGAGGTACACCAAGACATAGGGAAGCATGGAGAACAAGGATGGGGACAAACACACTGGTACAGAGATGACATTTCAGCAGCCAGACATCCTGAGGGTGCCATAAAGGGAACAAGGATGGCCCTGGACATCCCGGGTCCCCATGTCAGGGCAGCGCCAAGCCCAGGCTGAACCCCTCAGAGCGCCTGAAATGCTGCACCACATCCCCTGCCCCCTACCCTGCAGGAACACGACAACCAAGCCCACCCTAAAGAGGCCCCTAGGGGGCAACCTAGAGGTGGTGGTAGCCAAGGGTGACAATGTGTCCTAGGGTAGCTGTGAAACCAGAGATTAATTAGGGCTGCTGAGCCTCATTAGGGCCTCAGCATTTCCTGGCCTGCTGGGGGCTTGACCATTCCCACACGCCCCACGGGGCTGTTTCACACCCCACAGACCCCACATGCCCCCGTGCCACCAGTGACAAGGACCCAGAGCTCTGGTCCAGCTCCACAAGGGTGTTTATTCAAGGGCAGCTCAGCCCAAATGCATCCCCCTCCCCACTCTGGCACAGACCTCACCACTGGGATGGGAACAAGTCCCAGTGAGGCTGTGTGAGCCTTCTCCCCGGACCCACCTCAAGAGTGGGGGTCCCATCCCTGGAGTGGGGGGTATGTCCTGGGTCCCTGTGTGAGCTGGAGCCCCAGTGCCCGAAGACAAAAAGGTAGAAAACATTAAGTAAAGAAAACACTATAAAAATGCCATGAAGGGGTGGTGGACCAGGGCCAGGGACATGACCACCCCACTCCCAGGGTCTGGGGCCCTCCCCTGGGGGCCGGGTCTCCCCCACCCCAGGGCCTGGGGCTGTGCCATGGGCAGGGGCTGCCTCGGCCACTACTGGTTGGCAGCTTCACAGGCATCGATCCAGTCGCTGTAGACGTCCACAGGCTCTGACAGGTCTCGGGTGGGGGGGGAAGTTAAGGTGCTAACAGGGTGGCAGAGGGGGGCAGTTCAGGTGGGTGTGGGGGTGGACAAGGATGTTCTGATAAGGATACAGGTGATGGGTGTTTGGAACTCCTCCAGGCAGACGGTGCAGGAGATCACCCCCGTGTTGCGGGCGCGGTCCCTGGGGGCAGCAGGGGACAGGCTCTAACAGGCGACCCACGGCAGTTCTCCCCTCCCGGGCTGCAGCCCCCTCCCAGCAGTGCCCCCCCCCCGGTCCCCTGCTCACATTTTGACGTCGCAGGACTTCTCGTGGTTGCAGAAGGGGCAAGTGAACTGCGTCTCCAGTGTCCCCGTCATCCTCTTCTTGGGC